AAAAAAAATCACAGGGAAGAACAAGACAGCTCGTGGTGGCAGATCTCAGAAAGCATCATCAAAGATACATGCTTCCTCAGGTGACGGCAGAGCTCAGAAGTGTAAAAGCAGCCATGTGCTTTGTTTGCCAGGCAGGTGCAAGAACTCAGGCCTGGGGTGGGCAAGGCCGGCAGCAGAAGCCCTCTTGGACCAATTTGCTTCCAAGAAACAGAGAGGACAAGGTGGTAAAAGAGTCACATAGCTGAGCCACACTTGAAGGAAGCACCGAATCAGGGCAGCAGAGAATCAGAGCGATCTTGAATAATGAAAAAGAGCTAGCCTAGAACTTTCCCCTGGCTCTTCCTTCTGCCTCCCCCACCTGCAGCCCCCGCTGCCTCCATACCCTACAGCAGCACCCTGTGACACACACAAACCACCGAGAAACCACTCCTAGAAAGCCCATCACTTTCAATGATGATTAATTTAAAAAGAACCAACACTAACATCAGCACAAAGATGCTTTAAGAAAACTGAGGAAAAGAGCTAATAAAACCAACACAGAACACTTACCAGGAAAATGTTGCCGTAGATCCGATAAAGTCGTGACAAAGTATATTTGGTCATGAGGTTTTAAAATTTTTTCATGAGATAATATCCTTTATAAAGGAGAATGCTCTGATTTGTTCATTCAGTAAATATTAAGTTTCTGATGTTGGAGGCTTTGCAAATGTCAGTGAACAAAAGAGACAAAGGTCTCTGCTCCATGGTACTAGAGGGAGGGGACAGGCAGTAAACAGCAGACAGGACAGATGCATGAATGAGAGCTCACGACAGAAATGAGAAGCGCCATGGGCGAAGGAAGGCAGAGCAGAGGCTGGGTCAGGCTCGGGAGTGCTGGGGAAGCTGGAGTGGCTGGTTGCAATTTTGGAAATTGTGGTCAGGTTGGCCTCACTGAGGGTAATATCAGAGCAAAAATTTGCAGGAGGTGAGAGACTCAGCCACGGGGATAGCTGGGGGATGAGCTTTCTAGGCAGAGGAAACCACCCGTGCGAAAGCTCCACGGTGTGAATACGCTTGGTGTGTGGAAGAAACAGCAAGAAGCCAGCGCAGCTAGAACCGAGCGAACAAAGCGGGAGGATCGTAGAGACGAGATCAGAGAGGCAACGAGAGGCCAGGTCAGGTGGGTCTAAGAGACCACCGGAAGGACGTGGACTTCACTCTGAATGGAATGAGAAACTGTGGTGGGGTTCCCCCCCCCCAGGAAGAAGAATGACAGAATCTGTCTTATTTTTAAAGGATCACTTTTGCCTTATTTTAGAAGGGACATGAAAAGCATCTTGGATAAGGAAAGGACCTAACTATGATTTGAGTGGTGGGGAAAAGATCTCGGAAGGTGATCCAGGCTAGCCCCCTTCTACCAGGCTGCTAAAATTGCCGGCACAGGGCTTTCTCTAGCCTATCTTCGATATCCTCACAACACTCTTTGTAATCTGTTTCAGTGCTTAGTTGCTCTTACAGACAGTAAATTCTCCCTTAGGTACATAGATGGATTTGCAAACTCAAATCCTTTCAGGGGACAAGAAGATAATTATGGTATGAAACAGCAAAGTGCAAAGCAATAAAGATTTTCAGGAATTGGCTATATCTTGCCTAAAGGCAAGAATGTCCCCAAGCTTCAGGTTCCTATTACTAATTTTATATATATGTATATTATGTGCGTGTGTGTGTGTGTGTGTGTGTGTGAACTTAGACACATCAAACAGTTGAAGACATATTCTATCAGTATTCATTTAAAAAAAATGACCTATACAGATACTACTTTTCAGTCCTTAAATTATCTTATAGATAAATCCTGGCACCAAACTTTTGCCTTTGAAGGAGCTCTGCTTACAAGAACCAAGTGACCTACGGGCTGTGCTCTTAATCAACACGAAATCTTCTGATATGTGAGTCTTTGGGGGAAGGGTGGGATGCAGGGAAGCACGTATTTTTTTTCTGTTTGTCCAACAACATGTGACTATGTGAAGATTTCCAGATTCTTTTCTCCTGTATCTAGCACCACCATGAAAATAAACACTGGTCCATAAACTCATAGCCTGGCATGGAATAACCACCACCAAAATCAGCGTGCTCTCTGCTTTTTCCCTTTGACTCCATATTACCAGGCAATTCCAAATGCATTTTTGCAGCCAGGGCCTCTTACCCGTGGAGTAACTGAAGAACGTCTAATTAGGGGCAATCTAAGATGAATGATGCTCACAGGTCTCCAGAACTATGTGCTGGAGTATAACTATCGCCCAGAATTTTTCTTTTAAATAAGAAGTAAATGGGGCCGGTGGCTCAAGCCTGTAATCCTAGCTCTCTGGGAGGCCGAGGCGGGCGGATTGTTTGAGCTCAGGAGTTTGAGACCAGCCTGAGCAAGAGC